CAGTCTGCCCCCTCCATTCCCCCGTCGCTGCTCCTCTCCTGCTCTCGCTCTCTGGCTGCTGAGCTGTTCACGCTGTCAACATGTTAAAGCTGTTTTGGAATCCAAACTGCCTAATGTAATGAAGTGTTTGCCTCATTGAACAGAAAAATCAAGGAAACCAGAGAAAAGGAAATATAATTAAAAAAGAAAAATCATCTCATTAGTTTGTTTCTAAGTCCCCCTCACTCTCTTTTGTCGAAAACATTTTAGCACCATTGACTCATTTTGCAGAATATCTTCATGAAACCAGAAGCAAGAGTAAATTTAAAAATAAAAAAAGTGACACAAAAATCTAACTGGGGCCATTGGCAACGCTGCTGAGGAGAAGAGAAGAACACTTTTTCTTCCTGGCTATTGCTTATAGGAAATTACAGACCTGTAGGTTACAGAAGGACCGTTTAGCTCAGTGCAGGAACAGGCTATAGCTGGTGACGACACAGAAACCTGTGTTTCCACTTGAGAAAGAAAAAGAATTCCAAATTCTTGTAAAATGTCTCCTTTCCTCCAGTGTGTTCCAAGCCACCAGAAGTGATGTTCGCCACAATTGATGTAAACAAAAATGTGTACGACGTGGGTGAGGAAATAGAATATACCTGTCGGCCCGGGTTTGTCCCCAACAACGGCCAGAGGAGGTACGCCTGCCTCCCCACCGGCAAGTGGCCTCTCAATACCCTGCTCTGTCTACGTAAGTCAACCAAAATAAATCCTAGTCCAGGCAACCGGACCCTTCTACCATCAGTTATCCTAGCCTCATGCCTCATGAAATAATATTATCTTTTTTCAAATCTTTGACACGCAGCAAAGAGATGTCCCAGTCCTGGCCCCTTGCAGCATGGAAAAATTGATTTTATAGACCTCCACTACCAGAGTTCTATAAATTTTTCCTGTGAACCAGGGTAAGAATTTCCTTCCTCATGCTCTTAATTAAATAACTTACATCACAATATTCTAGTATCACCTGATGCAGTATTGTAAGTCAGGGAACTTAGAAAATTGTGCTTAAAAACTCACTTCCACCTTAGAAACTAAAAAAAAAAAAAAAAAAAGATGTATCTGGTGATCCTCCTCTGTTCAGCCTTTCCTGTAGATTTGCTACTCCAAAGCAATGTCTTACAGATATGGAAACTATCAAAATAGCAGAGATTTTATGCTAAGATTTATTCTGGACTGCTTTTGCCTGCTTTTTAAATCCTCTTATTACATCATGAGATGAAATCCAACAGCAGAGAGAAGATAATCTCCATCTAAGTTGTTATACTGTTAGGCTCTGGAGACTGAGAATTTTGTTTCTATGTCTTTCCAAGCTCAAGAAATGAAAACATGAGGTTAATCCTAATTTGGTCCCTGAAGCAAATGCGCTGTTACTCCGGGCTACTTGCTAGGTTTAGGAATGAGACTGCATTTAAAGAAAAGTAGTTATGGTAAATGCAGGGAAGCATTTGATAGCATACTGTTCATTTTACTTGGGTAATTAATGAATAAACAGTGCTTACCTGAGAAGGTCATAGGTGGGGCATAGACTGAAGTTTACTGGAAAGTGCCAAGAACCTCAGCTAACCCCCTTTTCTGCAAGAGAGGAGCAAGATAAGGATTAAGTAAATTCAACTACGACACCAAATGTAGCAATGGGATGTAATTTATTTTGCTGTGTGGTATTGAAACGATACACAATAAACATTTCTTTAAAACTTGGTGTAAGTGCTCCTAATGTAAGTATAGAGGATGGGAGAGAAGCATTTACAGTGCATATGGAAATTAAATTGGTCTATCTGGCATTAAAATAAAATAATGTACCTCAGTGATCTTAGTTCTTGAGAGTGCTGAGTTCTTTGCAACAGCTTGATCCTAATTGCCACGATTAGCTAGGAACTCCTCCCAAGAAACCGTAACATTTACATCAGCAGTCACGGATCAATGCTCACTACTTGCATATGTCCACAGTATTAATCAGTTGTAGAAATTAATATATAAGACAGAATACATAGCTGAAAAGGCAAAGTATCTTTTTGTATCAAGCCTTTTGTCTAGATACTTACAATACTCAAATACCATCAATTCTTTCATATATGAATCTAAACTTCCTTTGAGGTCAGTACCTGCTACAACTAGAGAAAGGTTTCAGAACAGGACCCCTAAGTCTGCTTATGAGAAATTATATTCTTTCTTGCAATGAATAACTTGATTCTTCATGTTTGTTAAGCTTTCTGATCACCAGGTCTTTTTGTTTTCAGTTACAACCTCGTTGGGACAAGAACAAGCCAATGCATGGCAGATGGGAAGTGGAGTGGAACTCTTCCACAATGTCAGCGTATGTATTTAAATACTAAATAACTACTCTGTCCTTATTTTTATCACAGAAAGATTTCTTTGCATTGCTCAGAACTACATACACTCTTATTCAGAGGCCTCCTATAGTGCTGTGTAAAAAATTTTTAGGAGAAATGAAGCAGAACCCTGTCTGTTTGGTCTTAGATATGTGGATTCTAGTTTCAGAGAAATGTCGTTTAAAGGTCTGCACAAAAGGCCAGGATCAGGGATGCTATTTACAGCTCAAGGTAAGACGCTTATCCACTCAAATTTATTCTCCCAGTGTATGAAAAGAGGATATTGTCATGCCTTTGCAACTGTTATACGTGTTTCTGCTATAAATTGTCCTGCATAAACACTTTACTGGAAAAGCAATGTACTGCATAATATTGTCTGAAAAAAATATAGCAAAAATCATTAATTACATACACTAAGGCTCCTGAAGCTTTTAATCTAAACTTTTTGTTTCATTAGCTGTGCTTCCATAAAGGGCGGTGTGGGTTAATTTGATTATTAGCACGTTTGTCCTGTGATTCTAGTATTAATTCGATCTTTCAGCTTTAATTTTTATGAACACTATGCTTTTCTAGCGGTGACTTGTCCACCTCCTTCACTTCCCGAATTCAGTGTCCTTTCCTACCGCCACTCAAAACCTGGAAACATTTCTCATTTCCTGGACACAATAACCTTTGAGTGTGTACCTCCTCTCGCGCTTATTGGGAACGAGACAGCTACCTGCACGGCCCATGGCAACTGGAGCAGCATTCCAGAGTGCAAGGGTAAGTAACTCTGAAATATATATTACAAACTTCTAAAAATATTCCCTAGAATTGTATATAAAAAACTACATAAACAACCTTAATCGTATTTTTTTTAACAATCGTTATTGCAAACTTACAGTAGAATTATTTGGAAAATCAAACTCGTGAATGCAAGATGAGTGCTAACGAGATTGCATGCAACATGGGACTGACAAAACATTTGCTGCAGGTATAAAGGTTAAACAAGACCTGCTAAATGTAGCTCGCGGTGGGGAATCGGAGCCGGGCCTCCAGAGCACAGCGAACACTTTATTCTGCTAAGTGCTAAGATTAATCTAAGAAATGCGCAACCTTAACCTTAGTCCTTAGAACCTGATGGATTTCAGTGACACTATGCCAGATTTAAGTAGTTTTTGGGTATAACCACAGGTTGCAATAGGTGTGTAGTTAAAACAAGTAATATTTATTTATTGTGGTTTTGAAAACTGTCTTTCTTGCGACTTTCCTCTGCAAGAGGCTGAAATGAACGGCTGTGAAAGTTTTTACGCATTTTTCGAAGTCCAAGAGTGTGTCTTTTAGAATTGCAACACTAATAAAGTTTTGGTTTTGGACCACAGTTGTCACGTGCCCCATTCCAACGGGAATTGAAAACGGATTCGTAGAGTTTGCTGTTCGTAGAACTTACCACTATAATGAAAGCGTCAGCTTTGGCTGCCAGGCTGGTTACGTGCTGGAAGGACCCAAGCATTCCCGATGTGAAAACACTGGAAACTGGTCCACAAAGCCAACCTGTAAAGGTATACACACACTACCTGTTAGAAACCATGTATCAAACTGAATTTTCCTAAAAGACCACTACTCTTACTTTCAGTGACCTATTACACTGTTGTGTAAGAGCTATCCTCCAAATAGAAATAGTAATTTCAAGGCCCTGATTTTCTAAGACCATTGCCAACATTGAACATTTTACGACATGATATATCTAAACTGACTTCAATAATTATTTTGTCTATGTCTTCTCCTCTTCCTGGATTTGCACTGGAAAGGTTTTGACCCTATACTTCGGGGTCTGAATTTCTTCACCATTGTAATGCCAGCAGAAGTACCATATATGCGTGGGATGCATTAGTTCTCATTCCCACGTGTCACTTGTACAAATTTCTGATGGGATCTAATCTACCTACTTTTCGAAACAGAGTTCTAATTATCCTTACACGTTGCTTGTAACTGGATTGTTTTACAGGACCATGTAAAATACCAGTTAAGAAAGCTGTAGTATTATACAAAGGCGAGAAGAAAAGAGTTCAGAATGACCTCAAGGAAGGCATTCAGCATGGTGAAATTATATCCTTCTTCTGCAAAAATAAAGAAAAATCATGTGCCTATACAGTAGATGTTCCCTGTGTGGATGGCAACCTTACCCTCCCAGCCTGCTTCAAAGGTACGAGCCAGGCTAACTGCCAAACAACTCCTGTTGGTGGAGTAACAGGAGCAATGTCATATTCATCTTTGAACCCTGTTTGACTGGCTAAATCATCTGCCCTGCGCTAAAGTTATCGGGTACTGGGACGAAACGGCTGGAGAGGAGGAGAGAACGCACAGCAGACTTTTCTTTTAGATGTGTCAGAGCCCTGGTTTAACCCCTGTCCTGTTCTTAGAAGGTCTTACTTTGAGGTGGTCTAGCCCAAACAAGAGGCCTTATGTAGAGTATTCTGGGATCTCATGAATCCTTGGATCAACGTCTTCTACAGGGCAAAAGAGCCCAAACAGTGCTGTAGCTTTGAGAACCTGATGTATTTGCTCCCGTTTGGGTGAATTACTCCCTGACTGGTAACGGGCTGGTTCTGGCTTTGGACCAAGAGCATCAAAAAGCAGCTGACAGTTGTAGCGAGGAACTGATGCTGGAGGAACTGGTTCACAGGCACACAGGTTTTTAGAATAAATAAATTCTGAAGTCTGTTCATAAGAGGAAAAGCTTTGCATTTGTTTTATCAATATTCCTTGCACAGAACATTCCTTGTGAGTTTTATTTTTGTTTTAAGTGAAGGAAGAAACATAGCCTATGCATGGTGAAAACATCTTTCCTCACATTTGGCTTGGCTGCTGATGGTTGTAGCTTAGCTTTCACTGAAAAGAGAAATAAAATAGTGTTTTTCTTCTAGCAGTTTTACAATGATAAAAAGACTGATTGCTCACCTACCAGGGTCCATGAGACATACTGCTTTCTGCTATCACATGTTTCAAGAATTTAACTCAACTCCTTATTTTCAACAGAACGTGGCTTTTTTTCAAGTCTTGTGAAGAAGGACCCCTCAGACATGAAACCATGTGAAGATGAAGCATGAATCAGAGCAGTAATACACTACTAAATTTCTGCTTTCCTGTGACAAAACAGTACCTGTGAGAGAGGAAAACAGATCCCGGGAACGTAAATTTCCAGATGAAATTCGGACTCTCTGCAAACGCAGTCTAAACTGTTTTTCCCATCCACCACCCCTACCGGGCTCTCTCACAAGCTATGACACATTATTTCAGCCATTAACTTTCATTCCCTTTTCTCTGTCTTCTTCCAAATCTCTGCATTACCACTTCTCTTTCCGTACTTCCAAAACTTATGCAACTGTAAATTACTGTCTCCATAGCAGTCCCTTCACAATAAAGTAATTCTCAGCCAATAGTGTGTTCATATTTAATATTACCTACTCATCAGTCAAATCCTTTAGCTCTTAACTGATTTATACAGAAAGGTCTTCATCATTAGTATCAGCTGGATTCTGATTCCATTACTGCTCCCCTGTGACAGGGAGTGGACCTTTAGTTAGAGATAGACAGAGGGTCATCAGCCTAGGATTTTCCAGAATTCATGTAAGCAGAAAGACTGGGATTTCCAAATGACTTTAGAAGCCAAGTATCCCGCCACGGTTTAAATGTCAACAGCGTCAGATAAAGGATGCTTTTACACTTGTAAAAAAGTTGGCTACATTTAATAAGATTATATATATTTTTAAGATTCTAGCTTCACCTGAAATACTATTTTAAACAGCTGTTAATTTTTACCACTGTTTCAACATTACGCAATGTAACCGATTCCTCTTTTTTTATTTAAAAAAAATCACTGTACACTATTGAGCAATAGTAATGATTTTTGGTCATTAAGTAGCTTTTAAAGTAAACCATACTTTTAATTTAACTTATGATAAAGGTAGCTTATTGGTATGATTGTCTCGCAATTTTTGTGCTTCTGTCTCTAATTCCATTCAAAAAAGAACTATTGTTTCAACCTACTAGAAAGTGATAAAGAAATATTTGTTGTACATTTACAATAAATTGCCATGAGTCATATGGTTCCCTCTAATGTATAAAAGCCTACTCTGTGACTAAAAGCAGAAGTAAACTATGCAGACCAACTACTGGAGAGCTTTTTAAAAGGACCATTTAACATCAAGATCAAACTAGGTGTAAGATGCTACAGCTACCATTAAAAAACTCTGAATGTACTCTTTTTTTTTTTTGCAAGCTGCACATTAATATTTTAACAGTACAACTGATACAATTTTTTCTTATGCTTCCTATTTTTAAGGAGAGGTTGACGCAGCTATTATTAAGTATTTAATACTTAATAGTTACCAGCAATTTAATTCTTTAATGTAGAGACAGACAGATAAATTCACGCTAGCAGCTGAAAAGGGGATTTTGTTGGTACAGTGTGCACTGTGCTTTGGTCTCTAACATGTTTAAGCGAGATCCTTGAATGATGTTTGACTTACAGACCAAGGTATTCATAACTACTTTTAACACATACATAAATCAGCTGGCAGGAACCTCACTGTTTGGAAATCTAGTCTAAATGTTGTGTGGATACACCGCTGGGATCAGGATGTTCAGGACAGTAGCTGAGATACGAAACACAGTTTAATATTAACTTGTCTTTCACAGCAAAAACATTGTGACGTTAGTGTTAGCCAAGTTAGCACCAGTGCCACAGAAATGCTACTTCTCCCTGAAATGATTTGTCCTTCGCATAAAAACAGGTGCCCCGGGAACACTCAGATTTTTCTAAGCAAATTTTCCCAGTTCTACTTACCCAGGCAGCAGGATGACAACTGATCACATCAGTTGGCCCTGCTTCCTAGCTGGGAATGTATTATATGAATACCTGAAATAATCACCCTTAGGAGCCAATGTTCATATGCTGAATTTATTATCTAGTCTCCTAAAGCAAGAAGACGGAGAAAAAAAATCTGTGACCTGATAAGCCTTTGAAGCATTGAGGTGCTTGTGAATCACAACTTTTCAGACATGAAAGGTTTGCTTAGAAGGTCTAAAAAATAATATATTGCAATTAGAGGTGATCCAAAGGCTGGCACAAGTGAGTGAAACATGCTTTTTTTTTTTTTTAAGATGTTTGAAAGAATACCTTAAGCTGTGCTCATGTTACTTGTGGCAACCTGCTGAGACAGTTACAGAGATAAGAGAACATGCTAAAATGAGGTGAAAAAAAAGTGTTTTACTTAAATGAATATATTTTTACAATTCAAATTGGGAATTTGTTCTGCATTCTGGTTGGGATATCTGTGCTCTGTAACAGGACATCTACCGTGATTGCCTCAGGAGAGTCAGTGCACATCAGTACTCATCGTGGCCTGGCTGCAGCTTTGGCTGGAGACAAGACCTCAGTCATCTCTACAGTCTTTAGTTTTTCTTTCTTTTTTGGACAGAAGTTATGCAACTGTCAAATCAGTGCAGGTAGACTTCACAGTCTCTCTGGCCACCCTGCTCTGCATTTCCCTCAGGAAATTTCTCCCGGAAAACTGTTTCCAATTTGCTTGGTTCTGCTCTGCCTCATGTTTTCACTATACACCTGCAAATTCAGTTTTGCAAAGTATTTTGTGATGAGCATGACAGAGATATATTCAAACCTGAAGGCAATGAACAACGAACAACATACAAAAAAAACTGGCTTAGAAACACCGCGCAGTCTTCCGTATTCTACCACCAACGTGACTCCCCATCTGTCTCTTGCGATTTGAACGGACAAATTGATTTCCTGATGATGACCAAATTCCCATGACAAATCTAGTTATCTGAAGTGGTGTTACAGAGGTGAAACATTCTGCAGGTTTGGGTGTTTGAGCTAGTCAGCCAGCCAGCAATCTGATTGCACTGCAAGAAGCTACCGCTATTTGGAAACAGATGTGAAGTAGTCATACCTTCAAACATACATTAAACGATGATTATTTTTAGTTTGGAATTTAAGAGAATAAATATTCTTGGTAGTCTACTCAGGAGATCCTGCCAAGGATTAAATACTCCATCACTGGTTTTTGTGTTTCCAGGCAAATGTTGATTTAAGGAGCTATGTGTCACCTGCGTAGGCAACTGGTGTCGCTCTCACAGGTATCACCAAACAAGCCCCAGGGCAAAAGCGTTTCTGCTGAAAATTAGCTGAGAAATCAAATGGCCAGTTTTCTACCGTACATTTGAGAAATTCTTGTTTGATGTATATGTGCATGTGAATCAAGCTTAGAGGAGCTGAAGTGTTTACTCACTCGGGATAAAAGCACTTTAGACACTATACACACAGTAGGGCCAATGACAGATTTTGGGGAGAAATGAATGAATCAAATACTTCTATTTGGGGTCATAAATATATACCATCATTTCATTAACTTGAGAAAAGCCTAAAGATCTGAAAAGACTGGGAGATTTCTCTAATTCTTTCGGATTAATCAACGGGGCTTTTTGACACAACTCCAAATGTAACCTAAGTCTTTCGTGTAGAAATCTCAGGTGTGCACTTTTTTCTGTTCTACAACAAACCTTTGTATTCTCTGATAACAACCCACGAACCACACTGAGCACCCTCAAATCTAAAGAAAAACATTATTGCGGATTACACTGAATGTCTGTTGTCTGCAAAGAATCACTCATTTTAAAGTGAACACAAAGTCACCGTATTACCTGGCAATATATACCTGAACAAATTTTACTTGGAAATGCTGAGAAACTGTGGCTAAAACTGGCTTGGCCATCGCTCAGCCAGTGCCTGCCCGTTCCAGCCCATTTTACCCGCCCGCCACCCCAAGCGCCTGGGGCAACCGAGCCCAGAGCGCGGCCCCGGCTCCGCCGTCTAACGGAACCCCC